AAGCGGACCTGCTTTCTCACATCAATGTTTGCGTCGTTTTTGGTACTTTTTTTTACCATGAACTAGCATGGAGAACTGAGAAAACACAAGCTAAGTTTTGCAGCAAACACTTGATTTCGGTCTTCTCACTTCTCCATGCTAGTTCGGATGAAAAAAGTACTAGATAAGAGAGGGAGGGGGGGTCGTAGAAAACGTCTCAAGGGGGAGGGTCGTATGTGGCCATTGTACGCCACAACTTTTGCTTGACCCTGACGATCAGATGTAGAAAAACAAATCTGCACTGTACTAAAGTTGTCTAAAAAATAATGTGGGTGTACTTACAATTTTCTGCCCTTCATCAAAAGAGTTCAAAAATTTTTTAGTAATATAACTGTTTTCATGCTCTTCTTTATCCAGTTCATGGTTTAGCGTGCGCATAGCCAACTGAGTCAGTATCTAGAAACACAGTAGACACAAAGTTGCCTCTAACAACCATAATGGTGTCGTATTAACGTACTTTCACAATAAATCTATTTGGAAGATCCTTGTCCTTGAATTGCCAATTCGGATCCACCAGCACAATCCTGGACATGAAACCCTATATTTCAGGTAGATTTTTTCTCAGAAAAAAAAATTATCTGAGCTGGCTTACTTTTCCATCTCCAATATTCTCTGCGGTTTTGTTGGGACCAAAGAAAGCATAAGTGTGTAACTCTCTAAGCATGTCTTCCTCAATATCGTTCCATGTAACACGGGTGCCAAACAATCCTTTACCAGGAGTATAAAGATTCATCTATATGAAATACATTCAGAGGAAACAAATCGCTAAATTACAGTAGTTTTCATGTTTATGAGATGCTAGAACGTTGTTTTGCTTTGCTTAGGTATGGTAGTGGGCTCCTTCCTGCATGCAACTACATCTAAGCTTTGCTCTTATATAATTTGAAACAATGGGAGGAAGAGGGTAGGCTACTAATGATTTGTTAGCTTACAACTAACAAAGAAAGCATGTAACTTAGTTCGGTTTTCTGAAAAAGACGCATATATTCGAAATCAGCTTGAAAGAGACCAGATTTTATTGTCTTTAGCTGCGAAGCGTTATTTTAAGGAGGGTCATGAGGTTTTCACTTATTATTGACGCATGTTTGCTTAGGGAATACAGTTTTCAGATAGAAGTTTGTTTAATAGGTGCTGGATATTGAGATATGATCAAGTCAAGTCTTATTCAATTGCGCTATTTGAATGCTGATACCGTAATATTAGTAACGCAATAAGTACGGAATTTTGCACAGGAAAAAGTCCGTAACACTGCTCAGAATAATGTTTCGCTAGGGACGACATACTCGAGTTCACTTCTTCAAGCTGATTCTGAATATGTGTATCGTCTTTCCAAAAGCTGACCTTACTTTCAGACAATCGCCGGGGCAGGCGTTACGCAACTCGCGTTTCTCTTCAAGCAGTCAGCATAATTTTGGAGCCTGGCCAAACCTTCAGTGAGCGGTGCTTCTGTGTTCTGCCATAGGAGCAACAATACAAAATTTTCTACGCTCGGCGAATACTCTCTTCCAGCGAGCGCTCGCAATATTTTCAACAAGCGCTCGGACTCTTTTTACGCAGTTTCGGGTTCCGAGCAAAGGTGAGATTCTAGGTGGCAGAGGTATCCTCAATGATTTTATCACCCAAGTCTGGGTAACTTTTCTCAGCGAAAAATGACCACGTGCCATGCGCTCCTTCACGAAGAGCGTGCGGCCCTCAGCATTTTTGCATTTTCTCGCAGAAAATTCACCGGAATGCGGTTACTGCGGTCACGCAACAAATCTGTGAATAATTCCCACACGTTCGCCAAGAAAATACCTAGCATTCTCCCAAATATATACAGGCGGATCGCAAAAAATCAGCGCACTATTTTTCAGTACCCGCTTGCCTAATCGCATAAGCGCCTACCCCCGACGATTATCTGAGATTAGGTGCCTTTCCTCGTAAGAGCGCCGACATAGTTACCAAATCATTTCCCAACGTTATGTAAATAAAGCTGGTGAACATCATTC